AACCCGGACGACTGGGTCATCTTATAGTGTCAATGTTTCTCCGCAAACTACTACCACTACCTGCAACCCTAAGGCATGGCACCGAGGCACTTGTCATGCTTGACATGGCTCCCGTGCCTTGCCCATGCTCTAGAAGACCGATGGTTAAGCACGGCCAAGACACCGTTAGCCAAGTGCGCCAGTGATGTGCGGTAACAATGCCACTTTGGGGCCGGAGGAGGCACGGAGCGCCCAAAGCATGCATCTCACCAGAGCACTAGGATTCAATCATGTCACGATCCATGGAAAAGCCTTCCCGAGGGGCGGGACAAGGCCCAGATGCAGGACAAAAGCGACGGTACCTGCCAGAACGCACCGTCTGCACGACGCCACGCGTTAACGATCTTGCCACGGCCACGAATCAAAAAATTGGGTAGCTCGGCCAAATTATGAATCGAGATGCGCCGGGCGAGAGAGCATTTGGCGTAGTCGGCCTGGGCAGCGGGGCGTGGAGAAAATTTCGCGGAGAGCCTGGAGAAGCGGGCTAGCCACGTGCAGCATGCCTTCCGACTGCCACATGGAACCCTCAACGCGCCCGGACATCGTCCCATTCCTATTCCGCTGCAAGCTCCCTTCATCGTGTCACGCTTGTTGCTGCCCTCATTCGACCAGGCACATGGCTCGGCTAACAGTTTACCAGCGGACGGCTTCCCCAATGTGGTCATCGACGACCGTAGGCGGGGTTGCGATATCACAAGTGAAAGAGGTAGAGAGCACAAATGTCGAGCAATGTACTGCCATCCCCTCTGAACTCGTCAACAATGGCTTCAGGTCAGCACCCCCAGAGCGTCCCGGACTGGAACAATCTCCAGGTTCTTCACAAGAACACTTTGCCTGCACGTGCCTACTTCCACAACTACACGTCCGAGGCCGATGCTCTCAATGCCGACGTGACCAAGTCCTCTACACACAGCCTATCGGGTACATGGAAGTTCCACCACTCTTACTCTCCGTTCGAGGCGCCCGAAGGCTTCGAGTCGACCACCTTCGACACTTCATCATGGAGTGACATTGCCGTGCCTGGCATGTGGCAGCTGCAAGGCTTTGGTAAAGGCCCCCAGTATACCAATGTCATCTACCACATCCCCGTAGACCCGCCCAATGTCCCATTCACAGACAACGAGACGGGCTCGTACGTCCGCAAGTTTGAAGTTCCCCAAGCACTCAAGGACGGCCAGATCCGCCTTCGGTTCGAAGGTGTCGATGCCGCCTTTCATGTTTGGGTCAACGGAAAGGAAGTGGGGTATTCCCAGGGTAGCAGAAATCCTGACGAATTCGATGTTACATCCTTTGTCGATCTCAACGGGGCGAATACGTTGGCCGTCAGGGTCTACCAGCACTGTGACGGGACTTATATTGAAGACCAGGACCAGTGGTGGTTGAGTGGCATGTAAGTTTCGGCGCTTCTCTTGGCCTGTTCGGTGCTTATGACTATAGATTCCGAGATGTCTCATTAGTCGGGTTCCCCAAGGCTTCTAGAATTGAGAACGTTTTTGCACAAACGCTCCTCGACTCTTCCTACACTGATGCTGAGCTCAAGCTCAAGATCACCGCCACTGGATCTGGAAAGGTCACAGCAAAGCTTCTGGACGCAAAGAAGCAAGAAGTTGCTTCTACAGAAGCTCAGATTGACAGCAATGGCGAAACCAACCTCAGCATCCAAGTCAAGAACCCCCTCAAATGGACTGCCGAATCACCAAACCTCTACCATCTTGTAGTATCTACAGGTGACCAAGTTGTTGCTCAACGCGTTGGATTCAGGCAGGTTGAGATGAAAGGCGGCCTTCTCTTGGTCAATGGTAAGAGAGTCGTCTTCCGTGGAGTCAATCGCCATGAACACCACCCCACCTGTGGCCGTGCTGTTCCGTACGAATTCATGAAAGAAGACTTGTTAACTATGAAGCGTCACAACATCAACGCTATCCGCACATCGCACCAGCTGAATGATCCACGGCTGTACGATCTCGCGGATGAGATGGGCTTCTGGGTCATAGACGAAGCGGATCTGGAATGCCACGGATTCGAAAGCATCTCGGACGCAGCGCTCAGCACGGAGCAGCGCGCCATGCCTTTCCGCGAGCGCCAGCTCCTCACTCGTAAAGAGGCTGCAGAGTGGACGACCAACAACAAGGATTGGACACACGCCTATGTTGATCGTGCTGAGGCTCTTGTAAAGAGAGATCAGTTGCATCCCTCCATCATCATCTGGAGCTTGGGCAATGAAGCGTTCATGGGATGCAACTTTGTAGCCATGTACGAGCACATCAAGGCGTATGACGACAGCCGGCCTATTCACTATGAAGCCGACATCTACGCCGATACAATGGACATGTACTCCCGGATGTATCCTCCCATCGACGAGATTGTCCGGTTTGGCGAGGACAAGGAGAAGAAGAAGCCACTCATACTCTGTGAATTTGTAAGTAGTGTATGCTAGACATATCCGACTCGGCTAACTGTATCAGATACATGCAATGGGTAATGGCCCTGGAAACATCAAGGAGTATGTCGATGCTTTCTACAAGTATCCCACTTTGCAAGGTGGTTTTGCCTGGGAATGGGCCAACCATGGCCTTCTCACCAAAGACAAGAAGACTGGAGAAGAGTTCTACGCATATGGTGGTGATTTTGGAGAAGAAGTTCACGATGCAACATTCGTCATGGACGGACTCGTCAACTCTGACCACAAGCCAAATGCGGGTTTGGTCGAGTACAAGAAAGCTATCGAGCCAGTACAGCTACTAGAGTCGAGTGCCTCGAAAGCCACATTTATCAACAGATATGACTTTATCACACTAGACCACTTGAGCTGCAGCTATACTACAACATCCGAGTCTGGAACCGAAACCGGATCTGGAAGCCTGGATATTCCATCTGGTATCTTACCAAGCCAGACCTTTGATCTGCAACTTCCAAAGGTTGAAGAATCCAAGGGCGAAGTTCTGCTCAGCATCTCATTCCAGTTGAAGGAAGCCACGCCGTACCTCAAGGCAGGCTTCGAGGTTGCAAACGCGCAAGTCCCAATTACTCCGGTCGCGCCACTGCAGCGAGCCGAGGCCAAGGGCAAAGAGATCAAAGTAGAAGCCGAATCTAAGACGGTAATCAAGATTACGGCCGATGGTGCCACATGGAAGTTTAACACGGTTCATGGTTCGCTCACCTCATGGGTGCAGGGATCTACCGAGCTTATCTCCGAAGCACCAGTGTTTGACGTCTTCCGCGCTCCTACCGACAACGACATACCGCAAGATGGTTGGGATTGGAAAGACAAGCATCTCCAACACGCCAAGGCAGCAACTCGCAAGGTCGAGTGGTCGCAGTCTGGCTCAGACACTCTGAAGATCACCGTGCACCAGCGTGTGGCCCCTCCAGTCCTATCCTGGTCGATTGACACCATTCTTACATACACATTCCATGCTAGTGGAACACTCTCTGTCCACGTTGCCGGTACACCCAAGGGCCAAAATCTGCCGCGCACACTCCCACGCATCGGTCTCGTTCTAGAACTCCCAAAGCAATTTCAAAAAGTCGAATGGTTCGGCCGCGGTTTCGGCGAGTCATACCGCGACAGTAAGCTCTCCCAGCCCGTTGGCAAATACACAGCCTCGAGCATCGACGAGCTGTGGGTCGATTACGAGGTCCCTCAAGAATCAGCAAACCGGACAGACACTCGCTACGTCAGCATTACCAATGGCAGTGGCGCAGGCCTGCTTGCTCAATTCGCAGGCAAAGCGGAGGCAGAGAGGAAGCTATTCGACTTCCAGGCCAGCCACTACAGGATGAAGGATGTGGCTGCTGCGGGCCACCCGCATGAGCTGAGGAAGAGCAAGCGGGAGGAGGTTGTCCTGAGGTTGGATGCTCAGCATCATGGATTGGGTAGTGGTAGCTGTGGACCGAGGACGTTAGATGAGTACAGCTTGCTTTGTGAGCCGTTTGAGTTTGAGGTCCTACTGCAGGCACCTTGAGCCATCTCTTTCCTTGTGTGATTTAGAATAGCAAATGAAATGGGCATCCAGCATTGAAATGATTTGTTGCAGCTCTAACGTCATGTTTGATCTGTTTTTTTTTGAATGGTCTGCTACTAAATGAAGTAAGAATTACCTAGCTCTGAAAAGCTAATGCTTGTTTGACCGCTGACAAGATAGTGCAACGTTCATTCCTCTCGGTTTCATACAATTACTTGATTGTAGCTTTAGTTGCATTTTAGGATCAATCCTAGAGAGGTGGGGTTTCGTGCAACGAAGCAATGCGATCCAATTAACTCTAAGAAACTCTACGTTAATTAATTGCCATTCGCTAGAGTAACGTCCTTTGTAGTTAGTAGTTTTTGCGGTTTTCAAAAGGTATCACCCTAAACCTATATCAATATAGCACGATGCTGTAGATAGAAGCAGGGCTTTTGTCTAGCAGAGAAAAAGGAGGCTTTTAGATAGGACGATAAATCTGAATACATATACACACACACACTCTCTCTCTAATCAACTGTGATAAGATATTAGGAATTCCCATAAGTGCGGGGACAGCATCTAGTCACGTAACGAGCACCACGATCTCCACCAGCCCAATCGAGCCATGAAGAAGAAATCATATATAAAGTAGGTCTTTAGACAGTCCGGCTGGCAGTGCTGGAAGGGGGTGCAGTTTAGAGATAATGGACTGATAGAGTAAATGGAGCTCGAGCTGCAAGCCCCCCTTCCCGCACCGCTAGCCGGGCTGTCAAAAGACCTACTCTATATGAAGTTTATCAGAAATACTTATCGGCCTAAGCTTAAACCGTGTTCAAGCTCCCTCACCGTCATGGCTCTTGCGCCTGCCAGCCATACGCTCACCTTCACCCAAATTTGGTAACAAACAAATAAGTGGGTCACTTACACTGCTCAGCAGCGTTTACTGTCAACAACCCTATATTGTCAGCGGACAAAAAGCTATAAGCTTCTTAGGCCAACTCCTACTTCTACACCATGGTTGATACACCGAAGAAACGACGCGTAAGCAGTCTTGTCAATGCGTAACAGCACCAGTGTACTAACTTCCCCAGGCGGAAAAGTCGTCAAACAGCGGCGCAACGGCACCAAAGCGAGCGCGCTTACACTCAACTAGCTCATCTACCTGTAGCGGATCCGACACGCCCCTGTCGAAAGACGAGGATTGGACGTTCCGAATCAAAGTTCTGTCGACTACTACAAGCCTCAATGACGAGCTCTTCAGAGATGCTGTCAAAGGTCTTGTCCGCATCTGCTTCCCTGATGATATTCTGAAGCAGATGGGACAACATGCCGTGGAGCAGCACATGCGCGAAAAACGAGCCGAACCAGCGAACATACAGCGAACGATAGAGGCCTTTCAACCGGAGATGATACGCCGTTTGATAGGCATGTTAGCTGGATACTTCGATACGCCCGATCAGGTAGCCTCGGCTGTACAGGCCGCGCTTGGAGAAAGACACAAGACTCCAAATGACGAAGGAACCTTGGGCTCTAGCAATACTATCGTTGAAGAGTCTCGTCCACCGAAGAACAAGAGGACCAATCATAGTAGGGAGCTTCAGGAGGCTACGCCATCACGCGGTTACCATAACAACTTGAACGGCGCCCTGGTAGATGTGGAACGCCAAACAACCCCAGCAGAAGATAGCTTTTCAAATTCCAACACGATTTCTCAAAGGCAGAAAGATAGAAAGATTTCAGCCACATGGAACTGGAATATCGACCCCAATGAAGTCACTGAAGAAGCTGTACAACATGCCTTCCCTCGTACTGCTGATCTGTTTGCATATCATACTTTGCCTACCACCCAACAAATGCTGGGATCCAAAGCATCGAGAAAGGAGATGAGGCTTGACATGCAATCACTGCTAGACAGCATATCCCGAGCGGAATTCCAGAAATGGGTTGAAAGCTTAGATAAGCTTCACAAAGGCAACCGCGGAATGTTGGTCCGGCCAGAGCTTACTCTGATGAACAATGGCCAACTGTCTCGCGTGACACCCACCCCAAGTCAGTCAACGCTAGGTATCAGGAACAACGGCATACCCTTACACAGGAATACCATCATCAAATTCGAGGATACCGAGGATTCTGTTGGAGTACCAAATATCCAGGAAGCATCAATCAGCAAAGCGACCACGCAGGCTATCGTAGTTACTAGGCGGCGCTTGTTAACAGAGGATCGTGACCTCGGATCAGCAGTCCCAGGTATAGAGGCCGATGCCGACACACACACTAGCCGCTCTCAGAGCAATGACAATATTGACAGTGTAAGATTCGAAGACAAGTCTTATATTACTGGTATTAACTTCTATAGTCTTTTGGTATGCCCGTGTTGCAGTTGTTGCGGGGAACAGACTCCTTGACTCGAGAAATGTGTGTCAAGGATTACTTGCAGATCACCGAGACGATAATGAACAATCTACAACGCCGAATTGCAGCTGAGGCAAGTTTAGACTCGTTCCCGCGACTGCTCGTGACTAACAAGGACTAGCGCATAGTTGCAAGCGGCCTTGGTGGTCAAAGTAAGACGCGCACAAAGGATGAGCTTCGGAGTAGTATTGTCCAAGCTTTCCCCAAATCCGGACAATTTGTCAACTTTATGAGAATAAAGAAGGACATTGAAGGTTCACTAGTGGAATGGGTAATTGCAGAGCCGCAGGCTTTTCCCGAGCTGAAGGCTATGCCTTTTGTATTCGCTCGTGTACTACCGGTACGAACGAACACTGTGTCATTTTTGCATCATCAAAGACTAACGCAATACATAGCATATAAGAGTGGCGATCGAATCGCTCTTTGGCTCCTGGTCTGCTGTATCTACACTAAGTGGGGTCCAGGTGTGGGGAAGTATCCTTGAAGCTCTTAAGCAGCGAGGCCTCTCGGAAGTACATATATACCCCTGCCTTCTCATTGATCTTTTGATACAAGTTCTAAAATGGACAGGCATCGGTTGGTGCTGCAAATATCGACTTTTTGCAGATCGATAGTCTTTGCAACAACTGCAAGTTTCCAGAGGTTACACGGCGCGCTCTTCTCGAACGTATCTTCCGTCGTGTAGTCTTTTTACACAAGGACAAATTTCCTGAGTTGAAAACAACACCGGTTGTCAAGGTGTGGGAACGAAAGACAGGCTTGGAATGGTGAAGCTCTAGTATGTTATGCTGCAAAGCCGCGTGTCGTTGTGCCTTGTCCAATGAGAGTTTGGGAAAGCAGCTCGATACTATCTGGTTCTAAACATGAGGGTTCGAGGAGTAATCAAGCGGCAAGCTATTGTACTGCGCCCGGTCACACACCACGGAACATGTAGGGGTCTATATTAAAGTAACAAATGCTAGATTCCTTTGGTTTTCTAGGGTACTAAAAACGTCCTCCCCATGTCATACTACTTGATAGCTGTTCTTACCCTCTCCTACTAAGATATTTACGAGTTTTCACAGTTTTCTGCTACAGAGTTATAGTATGCTGTTAAGAGAATCGCGTTTCTTTACATGATGATCGTAACTGTGTACGTAGCAGCGTATACTATCAGACGTAAGAGTTGGATAAAGACACTGTGGGAGCTAAAAAACGACCGTTAGTTAACTCTTAAATTAGTGGCTAGATAAGCTAGAGCTAACTGCGACAGACACGAATTAAGGGCAACAAGAGTAGAGATGGTCATATAGTCTATGTTCACCGTAGACGAACAGCTAGTGAGCTAAGGTAGTGTCCGTTGAGCTTATATCTACACAATGCCAAGTCAGATATGACTAAGGAGGCTAGGCTCTGACAGATAAGTACGCGCCACCCTGGTTTCCGTATCTTGTGTGCGATGCAGTCAAGACAGAATCTGGATTACCCAATGTTCAATGGTTGCTACTCACAATACAATTTAAGCGCAAAGATTTATTGCTGATTCCGAGGAAGAGAACGGTGCCGCTGGGATGGCGGTCGGCACTTGGATGCCATACATAACAGTAGTTACTGTCTTTCCCACCCCAGACCCGAGGTGAACACATTGAGTATAAGCCCACCCACCACACCCAGCCACGTAGCCCCTCGTTTCCCCCCCCCCCTAAGACCAATTGCTTCCCCAACACCCTGTAGGTATGTAGTACGTACACGAATGGATTTGGAGCTAACCCCACCGAACGGCTAGAGGAAAAATAAGACCCGAGCCGGAGAGGGTGGAGAAAGGGAGAGAGAGAGAATGTGGGGAAAGGGTACCCCACATTAGCGGAGAAAGGGTTACTTGTCGGAACCTTGTCCATTACGCGCAGAATCGCCCCCAACACGAGCGGGCATATTAAATAAAGGAAGGCAATTCTTTTTTTCTTCCTTTCTTGATAACTAGACTCGATTGCACAAAAGAAAGAAGAAGAAGAAGAAGAAGAAGAAGAAGCCAAGAGTATCATTGTAATCAAGCGATTACCATACTTTCTAATATCGCGTACTTGATTTTTTTTTTAAAAAAAAACAACCAATTACCCTTTGCAACTACCTATTCTTTTTTCCTTTTTTTTACGAATTCCTTACTTAAACTACTTAGACCGAAGGGAAAGAAAAAACAACAAAAACAAAAACAAATATGCCTCCTCCAATCCCCGCATACACGGATTCCACATACCAATCCACGCACTACAATCTCTTCCGCGACTCCATTACTAAACCTCTACCGCGCGTGCTGCCACCGGGACTTTCGCGCTCGACGTTTGATGTAGCGCTCGCGCGATACAGGAGCGTGGTTGGGGCCGAGCAGGTGTACGATAGCGAGGAGAAGCTAGTCGAGTATATTGATCCGTATGAGCTGCATGAAGCGGAGGATACGAGAAAGGTTCCTAGTGCGGCGGTGAGACCGAAGAGTGTGGAGGAGCTCAGGGGGGTACTGAAGGTGTCGAATGAGTTTGGGATTCCTGTGTGGACGTTTTCGAGGGGGAAGAATCTAGGGTTTGTTCTCTCTTTCTTCTCTCTCTCTCTCTCTCTTTCTCTGAGATTTTTCAATATGAAACGAGATGGCTTCTAACGTTTTGGAATAGATATGGTGGTCCGGCACCGCGAGTGACGGGCTCCGTGGCACTAGATTTGCACCGCATGGATAAGATTATCCAAGTCAATGCCGAGTACGCGTACGCGGTTGTGGAACCGGGCGTTACATTTACAGACCTGTACGACTACTGTGTCAAGAATAAGCTAAATGTGTGGCCGTCTGTTCCATCGCTGGGCTGGGGCTCCGTCGTTGGCAACACGCTCGATCGCGGCACAGGCTTCACGCCGACATCGACACACCACCAGCACATTGCTGGCCTCGAAGCCATGCTTGCAAACGGCGATCTGGTGCGGTCAGGCCAATTCGCAGTGTCCGGCTCTCCGTCTGCCCATCTCTCCAAGTTCACCTTTGGCCCCAGCATCGAAGGCCTTTTCTTACAGTCAAACCTCGGTATCGTGACCAAACTCGGCATTTGGCTCACACCCGCGCCCCAGGCTTACATGTCATGCACGTTTAGCATGCCGGATTTCGAAGATGTCGAAACAATTGCCGACATCTTTGGCCCGCTGCGCCGCGACGGCCTACTGCCAAGCACCGTCTATGTATCCAACGTGACAGAGTGGCTCGGTATGGTGGGCCAGCGCGAACAATTCTGGCAGCACAAGACGCCGATTCCTGACTGGCGGATCAAAGAGCTGCAGACGGAGCTTGGTCTTGGGTACTGGAATGCAAAGTTTGGCCTGTACGGAGCAAAAGACGTGATTCAAGCGCATTTCGACCAGCTGCACAAGATTATCGTGCAAAAGGCACCAAAGGGCCGGCTCGAGGGCAAGATATTTGCTGCACCAGAGGGCCAGACGCTCGATGCAGCGTCAGTGCCTGAGGTGGAGGGCGGCTTCTTTGTCGGAGTGCCTTCTCTCTGGTCGCTGCCCATGGTCAAATTCAACTTGCCCAAGTCTGGAGGGGGCATTGGCGCACATTGCGACTACAGTCCGATTATCCCGTCGAATGGCAAGGAGATTTTGTCGTGGGTCAAGACGGCCAAGGGGGTTTGTGAAAAGCATGGATTTGACTTGTTCTGCGACTTCTTCATGCACGAACGTCATGTGATTTTTGTAAACATGTTGACGTTTGACAAGTTGAATGTAGGGCAGCTAGAGGCGGTGCAGCGCATCTTTGACGACTTGTTCGAGCAGGGCAAAAACAAGGGGTACAGCAATTATCGCAGTCATGTGGATTACATGGGTACGTATCTTTGGTCTTTTGCTGTGGAGTTTGTAGGAGCTGACAAGGGGCCTAGATCGCGTTGCCTCGCTGTACGATTTCAACAACCATGCATATCGGAGATTTGTCGAGACGATCAAGGATGCAGTAGACCCAAACGGCATTCTTTCACCGGGCAAGCAGGGCATTTGGCCGAAACGGTTCCGTGAAGAGGATAAGACAAAGGCTCATTTGTAGTATGTGTACTAGTGTATATGTTGTCATGGAAATGGTATGGTATGTGGGGGGGTGTTGGTGGCATTCTGGCCATGGACAGTGCTTTTGAATGGATACTCATCTGCCATATGGTTGATTGTGTTTTTGTGTTGTGTTGTCGTATCGACATGAGCCCCTGGCTAGCCCGGGAGATGTTATTGATAGCAGATGAGGCAGTATGTCTGTACCATAGATAACCCCATCATTGTGGAAGCATTCGGATCATGATGACTAGGATGCCATGAATTGTACATACTACACCGATGTCATGAGTCGGGGTAAGACGTCACGTGCAGTCTGGCCAACTTGCTGTTGGAGTGGTACATAGCAGTAGTAGTAAGTATACTACCTACAACTTGTGAGACGCGGACAACAGATGTCCGCATCACGTGGCGGGAGCGGTGTCGCCTGATTCTGCCATCTGCCTGTGCAGTCATGATCGTCCCGCCGCCGAGATCGAGATTGAATAGAGCGTGTGGTGCAATTACCTGTCGACGATCTGTTGCAGCCATGGACGAGTCGTGGAGATTAAAGCAGCGATAACCAATCGGTGAGATTGTCGCATGGAGATTAGCCAATGCGGAAGCCCCGAGGGGTGTGGCGTGCGAGTGTGGCGCGTGTGGCGGGTGCAGACAGCAAATTCGGTGGCACAATGGGGGTGGCTAGAAAAGGGAGAAAGGGTTGAGGGCTGGAGGGAAGGAGGAAGTTGGTGTGCACTGACTGCACTATGGCCACTAGGAAGGACGGTGAGGTTCGATTTGATAGCTGAGTGGTCGAGGGAGGCAAGCGGGAGGCGTGGAGATGCGGTGCCTGACGATCGATAAGTGGATTGCTGACGGTTGCGGGTGGTTGTGGTAAGCAGAGTGGAAGGCGCAGCGGACACGGCATGCCAGGGCCTGAGGTGAAAATGACGCAGTGCAGGCGTGGCGGAGTAGCGCGGAGCGGATTCCATGGTTGGAGACGCGACACAGACACAGACACAGGCAGGCAGGGATTTCGGAGCAACTGAGGTTGGCAGTGGCTGAGGAGGGGAGCAGCCAATCAGCGGGCAGGAGCGGACAGGCCAAGGAAGTATCCATCCGACGGCACCGTGTGTTGGTCTCGCTCCGTCCCCTCCGTCCCCTCCATCTGACTGATGAATCTGATAGCAGCACGAGTAGCACGAGTAGCACGAGTAGCACGAGTAGCACGAGCAGCACGAGCAAGACGCACACGGGCAGACGGGCCAATGGCGAATGGCGAGGGGCGGAGGGTGGCGCGTCGATTTGCAGGGCGGCGATTGGCGGGTCGGGGTTTACTTACTGCCTAGGCTGCAGCTGCAGGGCCAGGTCAGCAGTGTCACCAGCCATCCATCCATCAGCCAAACCGTTGACGGCCGTGGCCATGCATGACGACAGGGCGTGGCCAAGGTTGAAGCCATCGACTACGATACTCTACACTACACTACACTACACTACACTACACTACACTACACACACAGCATCGCACAGTCACGTCCGCGTATGCATCCATATAGTATCTATGTGCTTTGTACATGTGTGTTGTGTGTCGAGCATGTAGAGTAGTGTACTCAAGCTTGCATGGAAGCCGCATGCTCGTGTGTGGCGGCGGCGGCGGCCATGGCAGCAGAAGACGGCAGCTCGAGACGACACGACACGACGCGGGCCATGTCAGCGAGCGGCTCCAGGAGGTGTGGCGCCCATGTTGTTGCGTCTTCAGCACTGCAGAGTGGGCCGGCCTCGTCTGGCGCTCCTACACAGCCCCAATGGGCTTGCGTTGGTAGTCTGCCCATCCATCGCCTCCCCGTCGCCTCGCCCATCGCCTGCCTCCGCCGCCCTCATCTGCATCCATCGCCAAAAGGGCCGTTGCAGAGAAAAAAAAAAAGGAAAAGGGCCCGTGGCCGTCGCGATCGATCCTGACTCGGTCCCGGCCTGCGTATGTGTGGGTGTGGGCGTGTGTGTAGAGTATAGTGTGCGTGCTTACATAGTCGTCGTCCATGTCGTATCTACATGCCGACTAACCCAGGCTGCACCACCCCATCTCTTCAGCCACAACCCCATCCACCTCGCTCGCCCTCGGCACCCTCTGACCACGCACCACCCGCGCCCTGCGACCCGGCCGCCCTGCCACCCTGCGCCTCACCCTCACCTTCACCATCACCACCAGGCAAGCCCTGCACCACCACCACCTCCTCCCCAAACGCTCCCTTCTCCCACCCCCATCCCGCCCTTGCCCTTGCACGCTGCTGTCCGCTGCATGCTGCACTGTGTGCTGTGGCTCAACCCCTCCACTGACGTCCTGCGCTCGCCAGGCGCCAATTGCCGCTTGCTCCACCCGGCCCGCTCTGTCTCTGATTGAACGGCACACGGCGACCGTGTAATACCATTGTTCAATTGCGAAGCTGGCTCTCCCATCCGCCCACGTCCATCTCGAGTGTCGGTAGCAGACACTTGCACGCGCGCCGGTGCACGCCTGCATCTCCTCGCATCGCAACAAAGGTCAGCACCACCGCGATCCCCCCCCCATGCCGCTTCGCTGATCAAGAGAAGCCCTGCGCAATCTTGCCCGTTGCGACTTCGCCAGTGCTGACGCGAGTCTGAAGACGCGTATTCCAACTCCTCGCTCCTGTCGCTCCAGCCCACCATGGCCGCCTCAACGCGAGCACTTACCCCAACCCCGACAAATCCATTTAATGCTGTCAACGGCCCCAGCACCCCAGGCTCTGCTGCGCGCAACTCGCACGGCGGCGCAACCTTTGGAACCCATCTCACAAAGTCTCCCCGCGGCCTGTCGCCCCAGCTCTCCCCCCAGGCCCTCGCCGGACCTGGTGCCCTCGCCGACGAGCGCCGCTTTCGCGAGCCTTCATCCCGCCAGACGAGCCCCAATCCTGCTGCTTCGGTCCTGCAGAGCCTGAATGGCACCGTCCAGTCCATCGGCCATTCTTCAGGCGCCCCGCAAGAACCCGCGCCGCCCACAAAGGCTGACAAGATCGCGAAGCCGCTCATGATCCCAGACAACAATGGAGTCACCGGCGAAAACATGCAAACCAGCCCAGTCAGTCTTTCCAGCTTTGGCGATGGAGATGCGCCAAACGCGCCCGGTGCCTCTGCCACAGAAGGCGGTGCTCTTGGCAACACGGCTCGGGAAGGTGCGCCTCACCAGCAGCAACAACAACAGCACCATCAGCATCACCACCAGCTCATTGCCCCAAATCCTGCCGACAACCCGGGAAACCGCGCCTTTACCTTTCCCGGCCCCCTTCCCCCGGAGCCCGACCCTCGCGCCCCAGCCCGCCAGATGAGTCTTCCTGGATACGGCCAAAACACGCCCAAGTCGCCATCGACAAAACGCCACAAGTGCCCATACTGCTCTACAGACTTCACGCGACACCACAACCTCAAAAGCCACCTGCTAACCCACAGCCAAGAAAAGCCCTATGAATGTCCCACCTGCCAAGCACGTTTCCGCCGTCTACATGATTTGAAACGGCATACGAAACTACACACCGGCGAGCGTCCGCATACCTGCTACAAGTGCGGCCGCAGGTTTGCTCGTGGAGACGCTCTTGCGCGACACAACAAGGGTCAAGGTGGCTGTGCGGGCCGCCGCTCTAGTTTCGGCATCGATGACGATCTTGGCGATTCCAAGGGCGATGAAGGCATGGACGGCGTCATCTACACTGGCGAGCCTGACGGCGAGGGCGACGAAGACGACGACGGCCGCCGTGTCAGCGAGCCCGCGCGCAAGCGACAAAACACTGGAAACTCGACGCAAGATTCGTACCACCAGCATTCTAGCACGTATCCGCCAATTGCCGCGAACCGGGGCTCGGGCAGCCAAAACAATCTTCGACCTTACTACCCAGGCTCTTCAGCGCAGGCGGCCAATGTGTCACCCAAAGCAGCTCCGTCCAACCTTGCTTCTGTTCACAACGCAAACACGCAGTCGAATGTCTTTGGCCAGGGTGGCATGACGGAGAGTCCACGACCACTCTCGCCAGGCCAACAGGAACAACATCGCCTTGCGCCAGAAAGCAACATGCCAGGCTCGCGCTCACCAAGCCTATCGCATCACATGCACCAGCAAAACTACGCCCGTGGCCATGGTACACCTCCTGTCAGCCTTGCCCCGCCCAACACCAGTAACGGGCCTCACTTGCCCTCTCTGCCTGGACTTAACCCCATGCCTCCAAAGCAAGGCACACAGGGAGGCAAGAGCAATGGCCCAAGCATGCTTCAGCACTCGGCCATGGCAGCTCCCGGAAGTGGTTCACAACCGGGCAGCCTCTCTAGCCATGGTGGCAGCGGCAGCAGTACACGTGAGGTCATGGGCAACCATGTTGATGTGTGGCAATATGTTCGCGAGATTGAAGCTCGAATGGCTCGCATGGAAAAGGAGCACAATGACAAAATCTCCACGTTGCAAAACGAAATTACCACACTGCGTGCCCAGCTGGCACAGCAGCATGTTAATAACGCACAAGGCCAGCAGCAAAGTCACTAGGGAGGGAGCCCTTTTTTTCGGCTGCCAGGGCTTCTCTTTGTGGTTTCGCTGCAGTGTCATGTTTTTTCTTCCATGTGTGTGGCTTGTTGGTGTCCTTAGACCGGCGCTCTGCATGGGCGGTGCGGTGAAAAGCGCTCGACGAGCGAATAACGGAGGCGTTCTACGGAGTACAAACCCAAGATTGAGCAACAGACGTCAGGGATCACGAAGAGCATGTAACAATGATACCCCATGCTAAGATTGCATGCACTCGATATTTGATCATGTTTCGCACTTGGCTTGTCTCTTCTTCCATCTTCCCTGTCTGTACAGTAGGCTTCATAGTATTTATTTGAGTGTTTGATTGGATTGGCGTGCAAATGCGGAGAGTTTGATGTGATGACGAGTAATACGTGAAGACGGAGTTTTCTTCTCCTTTCCCTACCATGTATACACAGGCTTGTGATGGCTGTGGTGAGTGACGTACGTACGTGTGATGCCAGCAAAGCATGCAAAGCCACACGCAGGTCTCTTCCAGCATCTTCCCTGGCTGCTGTAGATGTGAAGGGGGGTGAAGGAAGCGACTTGTGCTTCTTTTTTTTTTTTTTGAAACCATTGCCTGGTACATATAACTCGCTGGACAGGTCTTGTCGAAACAAGCAAACAGGCGCAAGTACGAGGCTTGTTTGCAGCAGCGAGCACATGGCAGTTGTTGACAGCGGGGGCGGGGATGGGGGCTGTAATAGAGGACAGAAACGGACCTTTTGGGTCAAGTGCCGCGAGGGCGTCGACAGTCCCGAGCGCTCACCCGCTCCACTTGGCTGCTACACGTCAGAGCACTACCACCCAAATCTCTCACAACAGCGCACCTAGAACAGTGAACCCCTCACCGCACCCTGATCTGATTCCGGCTGGTGCATGGCGAGCTGCTCTCCTGATAGGCGCTCCCGCGCAACGTTCCCACCTACTACGCCCAATCCAACAAGCCCATAGCCGCGCTGCCCATCTCGCCCGCACAAGCCTGCCCTGCTTTGGCGGCCCACACTCATATCAGCCTGGAGTTCCACGCCATCTCGCCGCCATGTTGAATTCGTCAGACTCGCACCGCCGCCGCAAAAAGGACCCGGACCGCGAGCGCAGAAGCTCCCGCACAAAGGATAGGGACAGAGACAAGGACAAGGACAAGGACCGCCCACGCCATAGGAGGAGCCGCTCCCGCAAGACCCGCTCCTCGGCCTCCAAGGACGACGACGACACTGAAAAGCCGCCCCTGCCCAGCCGCCCCTCGTCTGAGCGGGTGCGCACTTCGACCTCGACCTCGACTCTCGCCTCCTCGCAGGCCTCCAAGTCGCACAAGATGGCAGTCGTGCCCGAAATGGGACGCCGCGGCTCGTTGGGCTCGGACAACACCTCGAGGATCAGCTTACCGTACCCGTCGCATTCCAAGACGTATGCAAAAGAGAGCATCTACGCCCGCGACACCATCGACAGAAGAAAGTCGAACATGACGCCAGAAGCCACGGATGTCGACACAATGGTGGCAGACAAGGACAACGAGGAGCCCACTGTGGCACAGCCGCCCAACCACGTACCACCCCCACCCTCGCGAGCGCCCCCAAGTCCCCCGCTCACTGCGACTACCGCCGCAGACTTGAGGAGGGCAGCCAGCTCAAACAGCATGTGGCGCAGAGACGCAGACGTACTTGCCCGGGAGATGGAGGACGGTCGCCAGAGCGTGGACAGCGGTACGCGCATGACATCGCACGCTGGCCCCCGAATAGCATCACGCTCTAGTGTCAGGGAGGGCGACGAATTTGACGGCACTGACCTTACCTCCACTACCGGATCACAGCCCAGCACCATCCGTGCAAAGTCGCCTCAATTGGCGCCGAGGACGACGACAGCAAGTCCCTCAAACGCCCGGCCACCGGGCAGGACCTCGACGCCCGTGAGAACATCAACACCAGCCAGAACATCGACACCAATCAAGGTCAAAGTCAAGAGCAGAGCACCGTCAGAATATACCCTTGATTCAGAAGCTACCTCTGTTATTCAGGATCACAGTGCCCACCATCGGGGCTCATCTCCCCCTCAGTCAGATGCATCGCCCTCTTCTGTTGTAGATTCATCACCGCGCACTCCCACCCAGCACTCAGTTCTGCCTTCTGTAGTCTCCTCTGCCAAGGATGGAACGTCTGTGATCGAGGTCATGACCGATCCAATGTCCCGCACGCAATCGGTAGACCCCAGCTATGCACAGGCACCCATGACGCCGCCACCTCCACCGCCGCCGCCAATGATGATGGACGCTCCTCGGGTCGACTACTTGCTGCAGAATGGCGGTCTTGCCAAGCCAATCCCGCGAAGCTTGCTGGCAGCCATTGATGGAGTTCCCGCTGCTTCGTATTCTCACTACACTACGCCGCGACTATCTGGTGCACAGGCCCACGATGTGCGATCGTTTTTCAAGCCACTGCAGAACGTTCTCAACAGTTACAATACCGTCATGGACACGAGTGGTTCGCTAGCCGTTGCCACGGGTTACCGTTCGGTTGCACGGCGCCTGCTCGATCGTCTCGAAAACGTTTTTGCTCGCAACATCTCATCTGAGCATTGCCAGTGCATGATGTGCTTTGACCGGCCAGTCGTTGAGGATTCCGCAGGGGTGAACTGGGGAGAGGTCTTGGAACTGGTTTCCGGCCGTTGTGAGCTACCACCGTGGCCACCATATGAAGAAGGTCCTGGGCCCGGACTGGGTATATCATCTGACCTAGAAGCACCATGCCAACGGATTGATGTCGATGTTCCCGAGCAGTACCGCGAGCACTATGAGAAACAGTCCAAGAAGACCAAAGTTGCAGTACAGTCTTGGCTGTCTGATCAGCAGGACAACGTCCCCGAAGATGCTGATGACGAGACACTCACATTTATCATGCTTACGCGCCTAGAGCAACCACAAAGACCGCTCTTCTATGCGCTGCTATGGGGATTGGAGAAACTTCCCAATCCCAGGACGCAGAAGCCTGACACGGGCACTCCGCCATACCTGACCAAGGCCGGCATCGCACTGCAGCGTCTATATCGACTCACCAGCCCGCCGCGTGACCAGCTAACCGTCATGTATCTTATCCAGCATGCCGACATGCACAACATGCTGGCAACCCTAGCAGCGGTTACCAAGCATGAATGGGAGATCCTTGTGTCTGGGCGTTTTGACGGGTTCCTATGGTCTGGCGCTGAAGACTTACCGGACCTGAGCGGGACTCCACCTCGAACGGGCTCGAGGGCGGGCCAAATACGGCCGGCCGACGGACCGCAGCGCTTTGCTTCACCGTTCACACCTTACTCACGCCCTGGATCCACCCGGCCGGGATCAGTGCGGCCGCCCGGAGGCGCCCCGGTACAGATTGATGAAGAAACGGAGATTGCCGTGTTGGCAGAGATCGAGCGAGAAATCTACCTGGGCATGGAGGCTATGGAGGACGCCTTTGAACAGCTTCACAACCAGGCAGAGATGGTACGGCGACGGCTGCGTGAGCGGGCTGCAGCTCTGTCCATGGTGGCACAGCGACGCAGGGGCATGGGAGGCATTGAAGTTCGGACGGATACGCCGGCCAACCTGCGCGACGCCGACGAAGGCATCGACGATCTTAAGAGCGAGATTGGACCTGACGACTCGGCCAGCAATGTTAGCAATAACCGAAGACGAAAAGCCCATCGGGCGCGCGAGAGGAGAACGCCGGCTCCGGTGGAGGAGGAGAGCGAGGAAGACGTGGCGCTTGCGGAGCGGATACGCAGACGTTTCTGATGTGAATGAATAAAGACTTTGGATGGACCTGGGCATTTGGAGGAGTTTCTTCTATCTTTCCTTTTTTGCTTTTGTCTTGTTAGCAGGAGTCTTTTTTTGTTTTCGTTTTTGTCAATGGTTTGGGGCACCATGGCGGATACGATTTCATGGTTTGAGATGACGGCCGCAACAAATGGATACCCAATTTTAGTGAAAGAGTGTGGACGAGGGCATGGACTGTGCGCCGTGCTGCATCCTACATAGCTTGGCGTAGATGGCGTACGTATACGAAATGTATATTGTTTACTTTGCGGGTCAGACGGATGACGTCAGTTGTGATCGCTGCCAGCATGTTGATTCGCATGAGGGTGAAGGAGGAACGAGCATGCGGGGGGGAGGAGGGGGGGAGAAGGGGTATGATGATGATGGTAGTAGTAGTAGTGGTAAGTAATAACAAGTGTGCTCCAATCACGCTGGGCTATGGGCCGCCGCTTCAGACGGCTGGTTCCACGGATACATGGCGCAATGGAGACGACTGGCTGGCAGCATGTCGTGGACAGGACGCGATGCGACGACCGAGACGAACGGCTGTTGCATGCTCGCAGGCACTCGTTGTTTTGAGGGGAATGGGGAGAGGGAGAAGACAGGCGTATCATGACTGCGTACGCGATGCAGTACAGTCCTACTAGTATATCCTTGCACGCGCCGGGCATGCATTCCCCTCCATGACAACGGCAGATAACAAACAGGCTGGGCACCGCGGATACTTGGACCTACATACATAGATCGACGCATCCATACACAGACGAGCAAAGCCCAGCCTGGCATCCACTTGGGCATTGATCACTCTCTCTCTCCGGTCCAGAGGCCGCCCGGTGCGCTTGTGCTGTGTTGTGCTGTGCTTGCTGTGTTGTCTCTCCTTCGCATCGTCAGTCAGTCAGTCAGTCCCATCGACGCCCACCACCGACGGCCATCGCCCCCACCATTCGCCGCCGCCGCCGTTGCCCTCGCAATCCGTGTTTACCCAACACTGCCCTCTGGCCGGTAGGCGCCTCTCCACGTCCAACGCCCGCCCTCTCTTTTTGCCAGTGCATGTTCACTGGCCCGGCCAGCACTCGCTTCTGGCCCCGCCAAAGCCGATTCCGCGAGGCGCGACGTCGCCCTGTATTTGGCCTTTGACGCTCAGTCCTGTCGCTTCGCTGTGACCGCTCTTTCGCTGCACCACCACCAGTCGCTCGCTTTTGCCCGCCAGCCAGAACCCTCGCGCGCGCACGTCGCCCGCTCTGTCTCGCCCCGACCCCGCCTGCGCCGCCCCCGTGTCCAGCAACACCATGGCGGCCGAAGTAGGCGCCAACGAATCTGTCGACCCCAATACGCTCTACACCAAGCAGGAATGCATAGGCGGCGGCAGCTTTGGCAAGGTCTACAAAGGCCTCGACCGCCGGACCGGCCATACGGTCGCCATCAAGGTCATTGACGTCGAGAATGCAGAGGACGAGGTGGACGACATCATGGGCGAAATCATGATTCTCTCCGGCATGAACTCGCCCTATGTCACAAAGTACTACGGCTCCTACCTGGCTGGCACCGACCTGTGGATCGTCATGGAATTCTGCTCTGGCGGGAGCTGCGCAGACCTCATGAAACCAGGCATCATAGCAGAGGCTGAGATTGCTGTCATCCTAAAGGAACTACTCATGGGCCTCAGCTATCTTCACGACGACAATAAGCTGCACAGAGACATCAAGGGTAGGTTGAACAAAACATTTCTTTTCTTGTCTCTGTTTGCTTTCAGTAATTTCACCCAGACTGCTAACAATTTGCAGCGGCAAACATACTGGTTGGGTCAAATGGGCAAGTGAAGCTCGCTGATTTTGGTGTCTCGGGACAGCTTTCAGCCACAATGACGAAGAAGAATACCTTTGTTGGTACCCCCTTTTGGATGGCACCCGAGGTGATCAAGCAGTCTGGCTACGACGGCAAGGCTGACATTTGGTCTCTTGGTATTACTGCACTCGAACTGGCTAACGGCGAGCCCCCTTATGCCGACATTCACCCCATGAAAGTCCTCTTTCTCATCCCCAAGAACCCACCCCCCACATTACAAGGCAACTTTTCGCCTGCCTTCAAGGAATTTGTCGACCTTTGTCTCCGAAAAGACCCTAGGGAACGTCCGAGTGCAAAACAACTTCTTCAGACAAATTTCATTCGCAAAGCTGGAAAACCTGCACGTCTACAAGAGCTCATCTCCAGGTACCAAGATTGGAAGGTTAGGTATCCAAAGGAAGCGGCCGAATCGGATGATGAGGCTACACCTGTCAAGAGAAAGGAGCCAGTCAATGAAGACTTGTGGGACTTTGGCACTGTACGGCCGGTGGGAGGCGGTCGGGGGCCTGCCCTCGCCCAGATGAACGAATCTGGTACGAATGCCCAACGCAAACCTGTTTCTCAAGCCAAGAACGGTTACGGTGACG